GTATGACTCACAGACACCGGTGCTCCCTCGGCTGGCTTCAGACAGCCAAGGAGGGGTTCGACCAGCCGCTAGTGTGCACGTCCGGGACTTGTCTGTTCACCTCCCACGTTTCCTTCCTGGGTTGACCTTGAACCAGAATGGACACCTACTTCTCTGAAGGGTTACACCCTCACGCTCATCAAATGTCCATGCAGCTTATCTTACCAAAGAGAAAAGTTAGGCGCCGGTGGGGAGGAATACAAACCATCTGAGGCCCCAGGAACGGGAGGCTGGACCTTCCCCACCAGGACGTGAGATGCTGCCATCGCGACTGACCATGGGGACTTGGGAGTCGGGCCTTGAGAGGAGAAGTGTTGGGAGTGTGGGGAAGGGACCCTGGTGGCATCTGAGCCCAGCCAGCAGCAGGTCTTTGTGCGCATTGTGAGCTTTTGCTGTCCCCACAGGCACCCTCTTTTCCCGCTCCTGACGCTGCTGTTTGAGAAATGTGAACAGGCCACCCAGGGCTCCGAGTGCATCACCTCCGCCAGCTTTGACGTGGACATCGAGAACTTTGTTCACCAGCAGGAGCAAGAGCACAAACCCTTCTTCAGCGATGACCCAGAACTGGACAATCTGGTAAAAACCCTCTGGACCCCACCCTGGCTCGGGTCTTCCTCCAAATGCCCTATAAATGATCCTTTCATTCATTCAACCAAAAGTGTTCTGTGCCCTCTGTGGGTAGGCACTGGACGCCCTTCTAGCAGCTGAGAGCCATTTCTAAGTTCCCTACACCAAGGGCTGCAGGCACAGGTTTTGCTGCCTAAGCTCTCCCCTTCTCTGGTCTCTGCCCACTGCGGCACCATCGTCCCCTACCCAGCCTCCTGCAGTGCGGACAGGAGAGGAGGGTCTTGGCACCCAGAATGCCTGGGGCAGCGGTTCTGGGAGCTGGAGTCCTGGAGTGTTGGTAACTCTGCCAGGCTGATGCGCCACAGTGTGGAGGAGAGGATGGGGGTATTTAAGCACATGAGCAGCTAGAAAGACCTGGAGACACAATGGTGTTGAGAAGGAGGCCAGCAGCTGTCTTGCCCAATTAGGGGGACACAGTAGATGAGGCTGTCAAACCCAGCTTGTCATCAGATCATCACTACAGCTTCTTGTTCTGTACAGCCTGGAAAATGCCCAAAAGTGCCCAGCTCTGTGCTCTCCCCTTGCCAACACTACCTGCGTCTCTCAGGGTCTGTTCACGCAAATACTCAGACTTCTCGATTCAGCCCAACAAACCTTGGTTAAGTGTTTGCTGTGTGCCAAGCCTGCCCTGGGGAAGTGGATATTGTAGCGGCGGCCCCAGCGGCCCCAGCCCTCTGGCACTCCTAGCTCCCAGATAACAGGGCTATGAGTGGTCAGGCTGGTGGGGCAGCCCTTGGACATCCCATCCACTCATGTGGACCTGATCCACCCAGATGAGTTAGCCACAGTCAGGACTGGTAGATTGGTCGATTATTTTATTTTATTTTTTTAATGATTTTTAAATTTTTTTCAATTACAGTTTACATTCACTATTATTTTGTGTTAGTTTCAGGTGTACAGCATAGTGATTAGACAATCATATACTTTACAGAGTGTTCCCTTTGGCAATTGGCCAATTGCTTTAATGGGGAAGCTGGAGGGACATTTAGAGATGAGACACCCGAGGCTGGCTTCCCTGTTTACCGCCTGCCTGACTTTGATGACTTCACTCCTTTGAAGCTTGGTTTCCTCACCTGTAGATCTAACACACCTATCTCCAGTGACTGTAATAAAAACATCAGTGAGGTGGCTTGTGGAACTAAATGGCCTTTAAGAACGCATATCATCCAGAAGGTTAATCTCAAATGCAGTATCGCTGGGACAAGGCATTCTAGCCTCCCAGCTCGCCACCTGGCCCCGAAACTTTACCTGGGGGGCCAAGCAGTGCCCTTCATCGCCCCCCCTGCCGTCCTGTGTCGCGAGGGGGGGTGAAGAGGCCAGCCACAGGAGCCATCATTAGAACAAGAATCATGTAGCCAGCACAGCCGAGATGCACATAATTAGAAATTAGAAAAAGGTCAGATCGCGTCATTATCAGCTCAATCAGCTGCCGAGTGCCACAGCCAGTTAATCTGGCATCTGTATTTTTTACAACCCCGCACACGTAGCCCAACGGACTGTAACTCTTTATCCGGACAGATATACTGCGCAGCGGAGCAGGGACATAAAATGAGAGACCCCAAGCAAATGAGCTGAGATAATTGAGAGATTTATTTTATATATATGTGTGTGTCAGGGTGGCTTTCTTCTGCCCTTGAATATTGACTTTCACAGGTGAAATTGTCAGGAGGACACTGGGGTCCCCAAAACTTTGTCCCACCCTGGGATCTCGAGCTCCGATCCCACTTTCTGCTTGGCCCCACCAAGCCCACCGCTGGGCATGAATCCCCCCCCTCCAGCTGCCCCCGCCCTAAGCACTTTGCATGTCGCACCTTCCCCTGCTCCCAGACAAGTCTCCCAGACAAGTTCCCATGGGAACGGCTGACTGCGCCCTCCTAGAGCTGCCCAAACATCAGAGGTTCCCAGACTGCAGTTTCTGAGGGGACTTCCCTTCCCGGTTAGCCAGCCGCTCCCACTGCGCGTTCCGGGAAACAGCTGCAGAGAAGCAAGTCCATTTACAGACGGGGACAGCGCAGGCCAGAGAAGGGAAATTACTTCAGGACCAGACCAGGTCTGCTGGCTCCTAATATGCTGCTCCCTCCAGCCCATCACCCACCTCTCTTCTCCCCGGGCAATAAAGTCCTCCTTTCTAAGGATACCCCCACCATCTCTCCCCCGGTCCCCACACTCCGACCCTCTCTACCTCCCCTTTCCAACTGCTGGGGGCTGGGCTGGAACACCCCTGGTTGGCTAAGCTACTCTCCACTCCAATCCCCATGCCCACCCTGTGCTCACCAGGCCTTGTTCTTACCTGGCCTGCCGACCCCCTGCTTGGGTCCAACAGCCTCTGACTGGCAGTTGGTAAAGTTTGTAAAATTTGCAAGTTCCCCAAACCCCTTTGAAAGGTAAAAGCTTTTTGTTTTATAAAATCTGATTTACAGGCCCCCGGTGCAGGGCCCAGGTTTTATATATTATGCAAGATTTCAAACCGAGGCTGTAAAACCTACGGTTTCAGTTTCATGCATGGAATTTTTTTATGTGTAAATTTTTTAACATTTATGGGGCACGTTTTAATGAGTCTCTGGTGTGGCTCAAGGGACAGATTATGGCTGCCTGACCGCAAAGCCAGCTCCAGAAAGGGGCCCCACAGGCCCCTGGGCCCACGTTGAGGAGGCAGGGCCAGAGGCCCGGGCTGTGGAGAGGAGCCAGGCAGAGCTCCGGGCCCCAGAGGCCTCGGCCAGCCCCCCTCGGTCACTCACTTCTGCCTCCAGTGCAAACTCCCTTCGCCCAGATAGGAGCAGAAAGTCCTGCAGACACCAAGAAAGGGAAAGGAAATAATCATCTAAACTAGCAACAGTGAACATTTATAGGGCACTACTAGGCACCAGGTGCTCTTCTAAACACTTTACATATAATTTCTTATTTAATCCTATTTTTAAACCCATGAGGCAGGTATTATTACTATTATTCCCATTTTAAGATGAGGAGATTGAGACTCGAGGTGACATCGCTAGCTCAAGATCTCACAGCTAGCACGCAGCAGGGGAGAGAGTCACACAGCTACGCTGCCCTATAGCTAATCTGTTCTTAGTTCTTTCTATGTGCCAGGTCTTCGTTTTAGTTCCTTTCTGGCCACCTCTCATTCAATGCCCAGTCCGAGTCCGAGGGAGTCATTCCTATTGTCCCATTTTACGGAGGAGGAAAGTAAAGTGCAGAGACTATGTAAACTGGCCAGGGCCTCTCAGCAGGTGGAAGACCCGGGACTCAGCCTCCGAAACCCGTTGTTCTCGAGCACCTGCTCTGCTGTTTGGTTCTCGCTATAGCCCATCCACAGTTTACGGAGGAGGAGCTCAAGGCCCAAGACCCCAAAGCCGATAAGTTACAGAGCTGGCATTTGCACCACGCGGGTGTGACTCCGAAGGCCCTCTTTCCTCTGCACCACACCACTTCTCCGAGTTGAGGACATCTGGGGAGAAGTGCTCTGTTACTGACTTAAACAAGTTAAACACTTGTCACGCATGATGGCTTCCAGAAAGTGTTCACTCTCTCCCCCCACCATCCGGCAGCCCCCAGCCCCTGGGCTTCACCTTCCTTCCAAGCCCTGTTTCTCGTTCCAGCGACCTTACACTTGCAACTGGTCGGGCGGAGCGGTCGGGTCTGGAAAAATCCCTGATTAGACTTTAGCTTCGGCTGCCCTGCTGACCCCCGGGCAGCATCTAGCAGGGTGTTTAGAAACCCTTCCCCCGAGAGGGAGGGGGCTGGCTCCAGCTTCCCCCTCACAGGAGGGGGTGGGCGCAGTTTCGCAGGGGCCCTCGCCCCTCAGCCCCGTCTCCTCTCCCGGGAGATGTGTCCCGTGGTCAGGAGGCGCAAATGAGATAATGGAGAGAAAAGCATCTCGCAACTTGTAAAGTGCTCTGAGTATAATTGTTTTGAAAGGCAAGATTTATTACTATCAAGCGAAGAGGCCACGATCCTACAAAGAGAGGCCACTTTGTAGAAGGAACTGGGTCGCGGGAGGGGCGCATTGGCCTAAAGAATTGACATTTATCAAATAGCTACTCTGTGCCCAGAACATTTACATACATTATCTAGCTCCATTTTCACAATGACTCTGCGGTGCAGGCATTATCATCGCCCTGAATTTGACAGAAAGTTAAAACGCTTGTCGGGAATACATAGGCAGGAAATGATCAGTTCAGAATATCAGCCGTGTGACTTCATAGAAAACAAGGAGCCCCGTCTGGTCCCGTGTTCTGTCCTGGGACCTGTGGGGCCGGGGCACCGTCGCATGAGACCGAAAGATAAGGTTGCTGCTTGTTTTCCTTCTTTGAAGGGTACTTCTATTGTGAAAGAGAGGGAGGGAGGAAAGCTGAAAGATGAAGCCAAAGTTGGGGGAAGGAATTAAGGACACATTTATCACATTTGATGATGATATTAAATTAAATGGAATTGTTATTGCTCTAGAAAATTTGGAATAACTTTTTCTATGACATTGATCATTTAGAAAAAATAGCTTAATAAATCAGAGTTTTATTCTGATTTAGAGGCAAAAACCCCAAATTGCAAACTCATAGGACAGAGGATGATTTACAAACCATAAATATAGAAGAAAAACTGGGAGTGATTATTTTTCCACCAGCTGAATGTGGAACAGCAACATAAAAGCCAACAAGATCTTAGAAATCATTAAAAGAGGGAAAAGCGTACATGAGCTTGGTTCCCTGTGGTTCATAAAGCACTTTCACGTTATTTCCCTCCGCCCGTATCAAATCTTGTGTTAGGGATGATTGTGTCTCCATTTCACAGACGAGGAGACTGAGGCCCAGAGAAGTCACGCAACTGGCCCGACATCACCCAGTTTCTAAGCAGGAGGTGGATTCGAACCCAGGCTGCCTGACAGTGCCCCCCACGGGCTCTGGCTCTGCCCGGCAGCCCCCCATGTTGACAGCATTGCCCATCCTTTAATATTG